GAGTGAGCACGATCTGTGAGTCCGTGACACCTTGTCCCCAGGAGTGCCTAATCACAGGGATCCATTCATTCTCACCATTACAGGGCCCTGGTCCTGTTCCCCCTAGGGTAAGGAGAGCAGACAGGCTGCCGTGGTGGTGTCTGGGGGGTCCCTGCTCCTGGCCTCAGCTCTTAGGTGCTGCAAGTGACTCCATGCTGCAGAGCCTTGCGCCATGTCTTCCCCGCCAGCCAGGATGGCTGCTCCCGCCTGCTGCCTGGGCAGGCTCTGGCAGACAAGGTGCGTGCTGGCCAGGTTACCATCCATCTTGGCGCGCTCCCCCTTCCCGTGGCCCCAGTCAATATGTCTCTCTCCGATGGGAAAGTTAATAAATTTAGCTCTAGATTAAAAGTATCGATCATTTCATTTGTAAACGATAAATAAACAGGGGGCGCTCTGGGCGGCCCACAAGGCAGCTGCTGCTGGCTCTGGCTGGTGCAGCAGTGGGGAGATGGGGACGGGGGGCACCTGGCCCCTCATCTACATTCTGCCCTGCTGCCGGCATTGATTTCCTATTAGTCTCCCTGCACCACCCTGTAACACATCATTCCGGGAGCCGCTATTAATGGCCTTTTGATAAATAATCACTTGTAAGTCAATAAATTTTTATTAAACAGTGTGGCGCTTTGATTTATGAAAATCCGACGGGGTTTGTCTGGGAGAAAAGGGATGTGGAATTGAAGTGGAGACACCATCCATCTGCCTGCCAGGCCAGCCTGCCTGCCCGCGCTCACCACCCGCAAACAATCGCCTTTTAACACAACCAGCCCAGCCGGCCAGGGAGCTGGGGGCCAGGGAAACTTTGTCTGCGTCAGGGTTCTCTGCTCGGAGCAGCTGCCAGCCTGTGTTTCTGTGAACGCCTAACTTGGTCAGCGTCCGCGTCCCACGGCCCTGCAGGCCTGAGCACAGACCACTCCTGCGGCCTTGGATCGGGAGGTAAAGGAGGAACCTGCAAACTCAGGGACTGACAGCCTGCTGTGAGCTCCCCCAGCACAGTGCCCAGCTCAGATTCTGTGAGCTTCTCTCCAGCAGTGAGGTACCAGCAGGGTACCCCCACACCCATCCCAGCAGTCTGAGCTCCCTGCAGGTGACCAGTGGATGGCGTAGGAGGCGGGGGCCGAGGGAATGGAAGGGGTGACTATTTTTTTCAGGGTAGGCTCATGGCCTGTCTAGCCATGGACATTGTCTGAGCCCCATGGCCGGGGAAGGGGCTGCCATCCTGTTGCCCAGGTGTAACCCAGGGCAGGTAGAGCAGCACCATTATGCAGTGTCCAGTCAATGGCTGCACATCTAGATCTGGGGGTGGGGGTGGGGGGAGGCTTCTGGCCCCATTGTGTCGCCTGGCTTGGAGACATGAGCATGGCTAGGCCACAGGGTGATGGGGGGGCCTGGAAGGGGGGCGAAGGGAGTGAGCTAGCCCTCCTTGGCAGCACAGTGGTCCGTGGGG